AAATAAAATTTTAAAAACTTTACAAATTATACTGACAGATCCTGTCGAAACTGTGACAGACGACGAAAAGAAACACCAACTTATGACGATCTACCATAACGACCCAATAAGTGGAGGACATTGCGGACTCGAAAGATTGTATGCAAAAATTCGAACTAAATACTTCTGGAAAAATATGACCCGTGATATATCAAAGTTCGTCAAAAATTGTGACAAATGTTTACTGAACAAAGTTAAATCTAAAACAAGAGCAAATCTTGTTTTAAAACCAACACCTAGTAAACCTTTTGAAGAAGTCATTACTGACATAATAGGCCCTTTGCCAGAAACAAGATATGGTAACAAGTTCGCTGTCACTATAATCTGCGATCTCACAAAATTCTTAGTAACTATCGCGATACCAGACAAAAAGCCAAAACTGTGGCTTCAGCTATTTTTGAAAGCTACATATTAATATACGGCATAATGAATTCTATTAGGCCGGACTTAGGAACTGAATATAAAAATGAACTTTTTCAGAGATTACAAAACTTTTGAATATAAAACACAATTTTCCAACAGCACACCATCACGAAACCGAGGGAACGATTGAACGGAACCATAGAGTTTTCAACGAATATTTACGTGCATATTTGAGCGAAACATTTTCTGACTGGGACACTTGTTTGAAATACTACGAAAGAGGTGAAATACCGTATGCAAAAATCACATGCAATAGCCAAAGAATTAATTAATAAACATAAAGTCCGTAACAAGGATTTATTTGATAGACACTCTCGGCCAGTACAAATTATAGAACACGACTTAGTTCTAATACAAAAATAGCCCAGAGCCAAACATGAAGCACATATCAAGGGCCACGCGTTGTACAAAAAGTAGACGGTGTAAATGTTACAACTGTTACAAATGTTACATGCAACTACATATGCATTTTTCTATTTTGTGCGAAATTGTCCAATTCAACTAAATATGAATCTTCCACGTAAAATACACTTATGCAATATAATGTACTTAGTTATAAATTTTAAATATTAAGGTACACCGATGAAGTAAATTTATAAAAAAAAACATCCAATGGCTGTACTCAAACATTAACTATTGTAAAAATACCAAAATAAATTAACACAAAACTGTTGAAGTAAATAAATAAGAAATGTTAGGATTACATGCAAAGAAATAAAGTATATTTTGTAATGCTAGATTGGTAGATTAAATTAATAGAATTATACCATGTTCGGACCGATATTGAAAACATGTTTTCGTTGCTATAACTGGTTTTCGACCTAAAACTTGTGTTTTCGTCCATGTAAAATCTGTCAAACGAAAACCAGTTTTCGCTGAAAACTACTTGAAAACTCACGTTCCACTCATTCCAATCGGTGTCTTCACTAGTATTTTAGATATATTTATCGAAGTGGAAGTCATATTTTATCATATTTAATACGCTAGTTGGGATTTATTGTCAATTGGCTGGCCAAATTAAAATATGAACATAAGAAAAAGGTTGCTAATGAAAGAAAGATATTTTGATTTTGTTTACTCATAGCAAAATTGTAAACAAAGGATGACAGAAATGTATACGAAAACACTAACAGCGGTGCGAACAGCTTTCAGCCCACAATCCCTAAACTCGTTTTCAAAGTGTTTTCGTTGTTCTCTCTCTTGATAATGCATCTCATTCCTCCACATCTATTGCCATCGCCTCTTGGAGAAATAGATTATTGTAAGCCTGATCACCTTACAATAATCTTTCCAAAGGAGACAAGAATTCATTCGCTACACGACTTTTAGACCCGCCGGTTCAACCCTTGTGAAATAAAGTTAAAGTAAATACAACATATAAAAAAAAGTAATTTATTTTAAGCACAGGTAGTAACGCGAGTGTAAAGTAGCTAAAAGTAGTAGTGATTATTGCTGGAATTCGCGTCGGTTTAATAATCTTGCAGTGCTACCATTCTATTGGTATTGCTACGACGAAGCGCCGGTAAAGTTAAAAGGAGGAACAACTAATTGGACGAGGGAATCGTACATTTTTCTGCGCTCCGACTGTGCGCAAGTAAGGGCCATACAATTTTGTAACGTAACAACAGCGTTTTGGAACTCCACTTCCTATGAGTAAGCGGCTCCAGACCGAGGAGCATCAGTGTGGGTGAGTTCACAATCAACAGTACGAGCTTTACAACGATATGGACATAATGCAGCGAATTAAAATACAGCGGCCCTGCTGGCTTGGCCATGTCGTTCGAATGGACACCGATGCTCCAGCTCTGAAAGTATTCAACTCGGAACCCGCTGGTGGTAGCAGAGGAAGAGTAATGCCCCCACTGCGATGGAAAGATCAGGTGGAGAAGGATTTGTCTTCACTTGGCTTTCCAATTCGCGTCAGTTGGCACAGAAGAGAAACGACTGGTGTGCTTTGCTGAACTCGGCCAAAATCACTTAGGCGATTACAGCGCCAAATTAGAAGAAGAAGAAGAAGAAGAAGAAGAGATATTAAATTTGATATTTTATGTCTTTTTGTTAAATTGGAAATATCTCCATTCCAAAAGAACGTTCGAGGAGAACAAACGATCATGTCAGAACCAATTTTAGATATTAAAACATCGCACATTGCAATATATAGCGCGGTTTGTTTAAATATACGTTGTTTTCTTTAGTATTTTTTCTATTAAAAAATTAATAAACGTATATGTTTCCTCAGCGCTTCTTTCAAAATAGCTGGTGAAAAAATCCTTTGAAAATTCCAGCAAAATCTCCCTTTTAGTTGCACTCGTGATACCTACTTTCCTCCCAAAAAAGTTTTTCCCTTTTTCGAACATTGTTCAGAATATGAGGAAAGAGAGAAGAGAAAAATTCTCTACGGAATTTATATTCAGAATAAGAAGTGAGAAATTTCCTAAGGAATTTGTATTCTGAATTGCGCTGTATTTCAACGCATTGAGGCTAAATATATCTTTCGAAAGGTATCCAAAGAAGACTTTAAATCTCCAAAACGCTTCTTTGAGAAAGTAAATGAGCCTTATTTTCATATTTAGCGCCCCTAAATAAGTGCAAAAGAACCCTTTTTAGCAAAGTCGTTTTTTCGCGTAAACTGGTGTAATTAATGAATTCGTAATGCATCTATTTTTATGTTTTCTTTTTACGAATTTTAAGCTCAGAATGTTTGTTTAAAATGAAACCAGTATGGCTGAATTCCAAAACGTCAGTTGCATTGCATATGTACAAAGTCTAATGTTCCATAACGCCGAACTACAATTGGTCCAAAACGCATCCGAAAAGTTATCGAAACGCATCGCGAGAGTAATCAGCGCATCAGAAGCAAAGTTGAAGCTTCCTTTGTGTTTGGTTGCGATTGGTGTTTTGAAAATGGAAAATTACGAAAGGGTTTGCATTGTTATATTGAATATTTAAAATATGCAATGTATATGGTTGCAATATTTCGCAACTCTGCATATATGCCTATGTCTGTGTACCTAAACAAATAAAATTTGGAAATTCCTTTTTAAATAAATAAAAAAAAATGTTAAATCGATGAATAATGAAACTAGCCCTTTTCTTAGCTCTAAAATTTCTTTATTTCGCCCTTTATAGCCCTTTTTCTGGAGATTCTAACCCTAAATGGATAATTATTTCTGCCAACACTGCTTAATTGACAAATAAACTGGACTCCCTCTATAGTATGCAGTATGGTTTTGACGGCAATTGCTACTTTTTTTCGCCTGGGTGCTTTGGTTTGTTGCAGGACGTCGATTGGTGCAGTTCACCGCAAATAACGCATACACTTGGGAGAGTACAATAAGTACGAGAGTGTGTCCGAACTCTTAGCAATTTGTACACTGAACTGGGACTTTTGTCTTTAGCGGTTCTTCTATTGATATTTTGCGGTGTAAGAGATAGTGAAGGATGGACTTCACCCTTTTTGAGTGGCTTTGAGTGGGGTTGAAGCTCAATACTCATTGTGGCACTTTGTTCTTGCTCTGTATATTAAACACAGGTTTTATTGCGAAACTAATTTCTTCAATGATTCTTCAAAGATTCAATGCCTTTTAAGACAACCACAAGGCCTTTGCCAATTTTAAATTGATACGCGTTGTACTCTTTTGGTATTCCTGCGTATGAAGCCGATCGTTGAGAATGCTTTTGATACTATGAAGTCGACATAAGTATGGTGTAAAAGTTAATTTTGAATCCAAGATTACACCCAGGTCCTTACTCGTATTGTTTTGGCACAATTTTGTATGGTTTATTTCGTAATCAACATTGATTGGTATCGTCTTTTTAGTGTAAGAAACGACACAAGACTTTGCAATATTCAAGTGTAAGTGGATAACTATACACCGTGAATATAGACTTCCTAAATCTGCCTGCAGCTTCAAACAAACGCTTGTATGTCGAATTTTCGGGTAAAGCTTTATATCATCCGCAAACAGTAAACATTTTGCAAAATTACATACGTAGGCAAATCATTAATGAATATTAAAAACAAGTAAAAAAGTCATAAGTTCGGGCGGAGCCGAACATTATATACCCGGCGCAAGTATTAATTATAGTTTTTTCACCTTTTCGAAAAATACCGCTACATGGTAAGCAGGGGTAATTCTACTCCTATTTCAAACATCTTCCATAAACTTATATAGTTATATGTGGACGGTATCACGCCTATTTTCCAAAATTCCATAGTAATGTTACTTCTTTTTAGGGGATTGTTGTTAGTATAAATTTTGTTTAAATTTGCGTCCTTAAATTTCAAAATATAGGAGTTTCAAGCATTTCTGCAATTTACCATTATAGTTGCGTTTCAGCTTCACGATTTGCAGGTTTTTACAGGACGAAAAATAAGAATATTATAAATTTTTGCTCACTTATGATTACTTGTGTATACCTAGGTAACCGCTGCACATACCGGTATTTTGATAATCTAGGCGGCCAAAAGTCAATTTTGTAAAATGAATTAATTGATTTTAATAATGAATAAATTTGAAAGAGAACACAATAGAGTATTCACTCCACCCCCTCTCGCGCGTTTTCGTCGCGTGCGCTACCGCCTTATTGGCAGTCAAAAGTTCATTGCTTATCACACTACACATATCTCGTTCGGCGTTCGGCAAACAACAAATTTTAAAAAAAGTAAAGTTAACTTATTAAAGTTATATGTCTCGTTTTAATGATGGAAATTGAAGCTTCAGGTATGTTTTTTCCAAATTTAATAAATATTTTATAGATTTTGTTCATTAATAACGTAATTTATCGAATTCTGTATAAGGAGAAATAGTGCATTTTTTACACATATTTTTTTTTATTTGTTAAGCTGAAAGTTATACTTCCAAGTCCGTCCAAGCTTGAATTTTTTTTTCAGATTGTGTACATATGCTTTGAGATGTAGAATAAAGTAGAATTAGCCGCAGAAAACCGCAGATTAATTAATTGTGGAATTTCAAAAGTTTCATTGTACATTTTTTTTTAAAAGCGTTTTCTATACTTGTTATTTTTTGGTTTGTTTAAGGTTCTCAAGGCACTTCAGGGGTTCGAAATGTGACTCGAAAATACCTATTCGACCGCATGCAATCTCAGAATTCACCAAATTTGGACGAAAAATTAAACTCTTTACAACAGGAGCTTTTGTCAAGTGAAAAATACTCTGACGAACAGATATCAGCTCTTAAGCACAATTTTTCACATTTTAAATCACAAATCAAGAAAAAGTGGCTGCAAGTACATAAAAAGGAAGATGTTTTCCTATCAAAGTACAAGTCTTGGTTGGAAGGAGGTTTTGAATTAACTGTTGCAGCAAAACCGAAACGATGTGGCCGTCCTCAGAAACATTTTAGTGACTCAGGTGAAAGATCTAAAAGACGCAAAACTGCAGAACTCAGGTCTACAGTAAAGGACAAAGACTTCATTATGCATGCTGCTTCAGTAGAGTTAATCAAAAGTGGAAAGAGAGATGCTTCTAAAGTATTAAAAGACATTCAAAACTCTCCGACACGTGCGACAAAATACAAAAAGGCATTTGCAAACACTGGGAAAAAAGAAAGATTAATTATTGGTTATTGATTGAATTAAATATTTTTATTTTTATATATATTTTTTTGGTTCAAATAATGTATTTTGTTTGACACCTTCTGTGGTATTGCATTAACTTTCCATGAAACTTGGCATTTGATAAATAAATAATTAAAACATTAATAATGATGTCTATTTTATATAATTTAACCTATAAATACCCAAAAAAAATTTCATTTTCTATTTATTCTAGTACAAAATGGTTGTGCCTTTTAAGATACCACGGTCATTTAAGGGTTAATAATATAATAGTTTAATAAAAAAAGTCCATTGTCTGAATGATGATGAATAAAAGTATTAAAGACTATAAAAAACGTTAAAATAGTTTTGGCCGCCTAGATTATCAAAATACCGGTATGTGCGCTGCATCAATTTCTTCCAAACTTGGCACAGTTGTTGGCCTTGGTACAGCATACCAAATGGCCGAAAATTTTTAAAATCGGACAATAACCACGCCCACATCTCATATAACGGTAATTTAGAGAAATACGAAATCTTCGATAAATCAGTAAATATTAAAGCTAATTTATTCAAAATTGATGCTTGTAACAATTCTTTACCAAGAAATACGTTTATGATAAAATTTTGGAAAATGGGCGTGGCACCGCCCACTTATGATCACATATATGCATCTCGGTAACCGTTCTACCAATTTGTACCAAATTCGGTATGGTTATTGTGCTTGCCACATAAAAGCAAAACGTTGAAAACTATTGAAATTGGACTAAAATTATGACGCTTTTCATATAATGTGTAAATTTCAGATATTTCGAAATTTAAGGACACTAGTTTACTCAAAATTGATACTAACAACAAGCCCTTAAAAAAAAGTAACATTATTATGGAACTTTGTAGCGGCGATTTCGGAAAGGTGAAAAAACTATATTTAATACTTGCGCCGGGTATTTAATGTCCGGCTCCACCCGAACTTAGACTTTTTTACTTGTTTATGTATACATTTGTCTATACCTATCTCGAATCGCTTTGCCTGTTACAAACAACCGTCATGTGAACAAAGTTGTGCAAAAGTGCGCTCGGGTATAATAATAAGGGTCCACATTGCGTATCTTGGGGTATGCCTGACCAAGCGTCGATCAATGCAGCAGACTTACAAGAATCTATTTTCACGAAAAGTCTCGTTCCGGAAAGAAAGCTGGAGAAAAACTTTAGAAGGTTACCTTTTATCCTAAAAGCTGAAAGTTTGTTTAAAAGGATGGCGTGATTTACTTTATCGAACGCTTTTGAAAAAAGTTTTGATTATTCTATTAGATCTGCTAGATTTGGACATGTTGATTTAGATGGTACAAAAGCGTGTTGATATTCTGCAATTTGCGCGCTAATGCCGTTGAACAACTTATCCTTTAGTATGTGTACATATATTGCTGCGGTTGCCTGTTTCATGAATAGGACTGATCGAGCAAAGCTTCCAAGTATCAAAGAAGATACGCATTTGTTAAATATTATAGTCACAGGCTTAGCAATAAAAGAGGAACTAAACTTGAGAAATAACGGTGAGAAACCTTCATGGTCCGCTATTGGATTGTTCTTAAGCATGGAAATTGCATATTTTACGTCGTCTTCGGAAATGATGAAACTTTCAAATGTTTCGATCGGCGACTCTTCATAAGTGTGCTGAAAAGTGTGTATGAATTTCTCATAAACAGTTTGGAAGAACTTGGCAAACAAATCGCAAGAGTCAACTGCATTATCTGCTTTGGCGTTTTCATAATATAGGGTGACCGGAAATCCATTTGTTTTTCTCCTGGTATTAAAGTAATGCCTAAAACTAGATTGATTTGATTTTAAATTTAATTCTACTTGGAACATGTATTGTTTGAGTAGAAACTTATGAAAGCAATCGTAATCTATTCTTAGTTGAATGAATTTCCGATGGTCAACTTCGCATTTTGTTGTAGTATATTTTTTTAAGCTTCGCGTTTGGCATTTTTTAAGTGACAAAGTTTTGCATTAAACCATGGTAGCTTGTTATGACGAGGAACTTTACGATGTGATACAAATGTAGTGATCTCAGATGCTAATTTTTCGCAAAGAATTTGTAAGACAGAGAAGGGTCCTCGAAAGTGTTGAAAAAAGTCCAATTCGTATTTTCAATAAATTTATTGATGGCGGATATGGCTGTTTAGACACACTAAACACTCAAAAATGAAATCGACTTTTACGAAGAGTTTAATAATATGCAGCGTGTTTTATTTAATTATAATTACAAAATTTATGCGAGTACGGCGAAGGTAAGAAAGTACTAGCCACTGCAAAATTTAAAACCAAGAAGTAAAAAATAGAAACAGAAAACGTTCTGCAGCAGCGACGGCTGCTTATATACGAAAAATACCATTAGGGATAGTGTTGTTGTATGCGGTGCAGAAAAACTGTGCTTTGAGCTTTCATATAAATATACATAAGAACTTAACTAAAACAATTATGACATACAATATTCATGTGCAAATACAAAAACTCCAATTGTTAAATAGGTACGGTAAATGAAAGTTTCGCAAGCAATCTGATAGGGTGACCAGCCACATGCGGTGACCATGCGTACTCTCAAACATCCTGCCTGGCTAAACCCTCACAGTTCAGGGTCTGGTTCTGGGGCTTCGACAAGACGGCACATCTTTTGACCCGGCCGTGGGCACCTGTGTTTGATGAAGACTTCCTCGGGTGATTTCTTTTCGCTATTGTACTCCACAGTGACCGTGCGAACTAGACCGTCGCTTCCTGGGTGCACGTCGATGATGCGACCGATGCGCCAATAGGTAGGGGGCAAATTTTCATTCCGAATAAGAACAATGTCACCTACCTACAGATTTGGAGAAGACCTGGTCCACTTGTTCCGCGCTTGTAAAGAGGATAGATACTCGCTTCCAAAAATGCTCGAACATTCGCTGCAACTGTTGCCTATATAGTCGATTTTCAGGAACTTTAGGAAGAGGGGCTTCTCGTCTAGCATTGAGTTGGCGACCGATAAGGAAATCAGCCGGCGAGACAGCCATCTGGATCATCACGAAGCGGGACAAGTGGACGCGAATAAAGTACCGCCTCAATGCTGACGAGCAACGTACTGAGCTGATTAAATCGTAAAATCTGTCGGCCAATCGTGCGGTACAAATGCTTTTTCGCGGAGCGTACTGCAGCTTCCCAAAGCCCTCCGTGATGTGGTGCGGCAGGGATAATAAACTTCCAGCTGGTGCCACTAGCTGCAATGTGCTGCCTTGATTTTTCGCGGAGCGTACTACAGCTTCCCAAAGCCCTCCGTGATGTGGTGCGGCAGGGGTAATAAACTTCCAGCAGGTGCCACTAGCTGCAATGTGCTGCCTTGATTTTTCGCGGAGCGTACTACAGCTTCCCAAAGCCCTCCGTGATGTGGTGCGGCAGGGGTAATAAACTTCCAGCAGGTGCCACTAGCTGCAATGTGCTGCCTTGATTTTTCGCGGAGCGTACTACAGCTTCCCAAAGCCCTCCGTGATGTGGTGCGGCAGGGGTAATAAACTTCCAGCAGGTGCCACTAGCTGCAATGTGCTGCCTTGATTTTTCGCGGAGCGTACTACAGCTTCCCAAAGCCCTCCGTGATGTGGTGCGGCAGGGGTAATAAACTTCCAGCAGGTGCCACTAGCTGCAATGTGCTGCCTTGCTCGGTCATTGGTCCATTCTTCCAAGTCTTCTTTCACCTGCCGGTTAGCGCCCACAAATTGCGTACCGTTGTCGCTGTACATAACCGAGCTTATGCCCCGCCGGCTGATGAAGCGGTCAAAGATATTAATGAAAGACTGGGTAGACAAGTCTTCGGCTAGTTCAATGTATACGGCCTTAGTGGCCATACAAACAAAGATAGCCGCATAGCACTTTGTTGTTGTGGGCGATCTCCTGCCGACAACACGCAAGTTAAAAGGGCCGCAGTAATCCAGGCCAGTATGAGTAAAGGGTGGAGATACCAACACACGAGATTTTGGTAGAGATGCCATCTGCTGTTGTTGGGTAGTCTTTTGATACCGGCGACATACAACGCACCTATGAATGTAGGACTTAACCAAGGTACGGCTGTGAATTATCCAATATTTGCGTCGCAGGAACTGTAGCATTTCCTGTATGCCACCATGCTTTGTATATGCGCATCATGGATGAGCAAGGTTGCCAATGCGCTGTCTCGCGTGAGGATTATAGGGTGCCGTTGTTCAAATCTAAAATCAGCATTGGTGAGTCGGCCACCTACTCGTAGAATGCCTCCTTCATCCAGGAACGGATTGAGGGGTAGTAATTTACTTGAAGCGTCTAGTCTGGAACGAGACTTAAGTGCATTAATGTCGGATATAAATGCGTTACCTTGCGATTGCCGAATATGCAATTCAAGTGCCCACTCCTTCTCTTCAGCTGTGACAACCTCGTCCCTTCGAGTACTTTTAAAGCGTGGAATCATCCGTCGGATACGCGAGTTGTATTCAGCAGTCTTGTCAACCGACTAAATATGTGCACCAAAGGAATCCGATGGTCCTTGGATGTCGTCATAAGAAACGATGATATGACGTGAACGCTTAGAGGAGCCCTGATTGGTCGAGCTTCGTCCCCGAAAACTCGTTGTTGCTCGGTAGACATAGCTGGTAGTTCTGATGCGACTGCATCAATTGAATGAATGATGGCTGGTCCTGTCCACCACAGCGTGTTGTTTTCTAGTATGGCTGGGGTGATGCCATGGCTGGCGCAGTATGCGGGGTTGAATTCCGACCGGACATGTCTCCACGCACTGATATCTGAATTCTTTTGAATGTACGCTACACGGTTAGACACATACTGCTTAAAAGCAGATGCAGGTTTACTAATCCAATTGGGGACAATAGTGGAGTCGCTCCACAATGTGTAAGCGGCGCCGTCAAGATGCAATGCTCGACGAACACTATTGATTGTAACGGTAAACAGTTGCGCTCCACACAGTTCCAAGCGGGGAATTGTCTGCTTCTTAAGAGGTGCCACCGTGGTTTTCTCGGCGACGAGTGTCACCCTTGAGTCTCCGCTTCCATCTATACATCGCATGTAAATTGCGGCTGCATATGCGTTTGTGCTCGCATCACAGAATCCATGAAGACTGACCGCCGCGCTGCATGTAATACCAAGCCATCGCGGTATACGGACTCTCTCCAAATCCGGAAGATTGTTTCGAAACGCCAACCAAGTATCACGAGGTTCGGCTGGTAATGGTGCGTCCCAATCCAACTGAGCCTGCTAAAGCTTCTGGATGAACATCTTTGCTAACACGATAACTGGCGCAAGCATGCCAGTTGGGTCATACAGCCGGGCTGTGTCTCTCAAAACTGCACGTTTAGTAATAGGCAACTCATTATCACATAACTTCGTCTTGAAGAACAAGTTGTCGGTAACTGGGTTCCAGTGTAGCCCCAGTACTTTCGTGTCATGATCGCCCAAATTGATTGCCAAATCTGCTACGGAAGAGCCGCATATTGNTGTTGCTAGGGCCCGTGAACAGTTAGAATTCCACTTGTCTAACACAAATCCACCTAGTTGAAGGATGGTGCTAATAACATCTTGTGCTCGGATGACGGCCATATCTGTAGTATCGACGCTATCCAAATAATCGTCGACATAAAAACACTTAAGTATGATGTTGCGCGCTGTGGATGCCCGGTTGCCGTCGATGATGGCTTCAGCGTTATCAAGTGCGCATTGTATTAGCGCGCGAATTGGATTGTATAGGCTGCATGCCATACCATAAGTCACCGTTTTGAGCTGGTAAATATGCAGTGTTTCGTTAGGCGACTCTCTCCACAGGATTTGTGGCCATTTACGATGTCTCGGGTCAACCCACACCCGGAAAAACATTTTCCTTCACTGCTAATGCTCTAAATGAATTGCGCACGCAATCAACAATATGGCATAACAATTTCTGCGACTCATGTTTATGATTGGGCAAGTCGAGTAAGCGTTGGACATGCGTTTCCGACAGTATGCGAGGGTTATCGAAGCGACGCCTAAGTGCTGCCCACACCTCTTCGTATCCGCTTATATACAAGCCGCCTATTAGGGGAACGTTATCTGATTTCACGTACTGGCGGAGCTTGCCAAGCTTGTGTGTTGGATCTAGGTCTGTGCGATTATGACCAGGGTCTCCAACATATCTTTGAAGACCAACAAGTTCGCTGGTGATCCATCGAATATGGGTATTGAGATCGGATCCAGCCTGTTATCTGCAGCATGATTTAGCGAAGAGGCTACTTCTGGAACCTTTTGTTCATTTGCCATCTTGCGTCTTAGTGAAATGCAAATGTTGTTGTATATTTGCTCTGTTGTCGTGATCGTCGATTTCTTCTCCCCGAGCTACGGTGACCAATGCCAAGTGGTTTTCCACGAACCGATTGTAATGCTGGAGCGACGTAGACAGCAGCTGGTCGACCTCGATGCGATCGGGATGCTACATCCATGGCCTCTACCTGGGTCCAACTCCGCTGGAGCGATGTTCGCGCAGACGTGCGCAAATTTAGCGCGGCCATAAGAAGTCAAAATACTCGTAAATCTAACCGGAACCGTAAGACCTTCCTCACAGGGGGCACCAAAAATGTTTAGATATGAACACGGCTAAACATTCAAAAATGAAATCGACTTTTATGAAGAGTTTAATAATATGCAGCGTGTTTTATTTAATTATGATTACAAAATGTATGCGAGTATGGCGAAGGTAAGAAAGTACCAGCCAATGCAAAATTTAAAACCAAGAATTAACAAATAGAAACAGAAAACGTTCTGCAGCAGCGACGGCTGCTTATATACGAAAAATACCATTAGGGGTAGTGTTGTTGTATGCGGTACAGAAAAACTGTGCTTTGAGCTTACATAAGAACTTAACTAAAACAATTATGACAAACAATAATCATGTGCAAATACAAAAACTCCAATTGTTAAACAGGTACGGTAGATGACAGTTTCGCAAGCAATCTAATAAGGTGACCAGTTTCACTAATAGTGCTTTATGATGAAACGTATTTTCTAAAATCCTCGAGGAACATTCTTCTCAAGATGCATTTAGTTCAGCTGAAGAAAAAACTAAATCAAGTATTTTATTTAAACTATTGGTAACAAAATTTTTTTGATAAAAATCATAAGACAATAAATTGCTTATAAATTGTAAGTCAATGTCGGATTTTAAGTTTGAAGGTACTAAAATATTTCCATCAGAAAGCCACGAAATATTACTCAAGTTAAAGTTGCCGAGGTAAATAGTTTCTTTTAATTTATCATATACAGAGTTTAGATTATCTAAATGCATACTATAAATTTCTATATTACTATTCGGCGGTATATAAGACAGCAAAAAATCAATAACTTTATTTGCAGAGAATGTTACTTTAACACAAATTTATTCAATCTGATTATCAAAAAGATTTAAAGAAACACTATCACTCATCCTCTTCTAAGCCAGAAGCAGTTGGACAGCGATCCAGGCGAAAGACTTGATAATAAGCAGGGGACGGATTTTTAGGACCTAAAGACCTATAAAAATGGCAAAATAAAATAACGGAATAGGCTGGAAAAGGCAAAATAAAATAGCGAAAAAGGCAGGAAAAGGCACTAGGTATTGCAAAAAAGGCAAAACAAAATAGCGAAAAAGGCGGGAAAAGGCACTACGTATTGCAAAAAAAGCAAAATAAGGCACTAAAAAAGACAGAAAATACGAAGAACAATCAAAAAATACATTTATTTTAGAAATGTTTATATTACAAGTAAAAAGAGAAAAACTATGAACTGGTTTCATTATATGATACATTTTTACTTTGAATCTTTTATTATTTTATCCTTTCGAGTTTCTAACTGATAAAACTTTAATCTGTATAGTTGTAGTAACATTGAACCACAAGATGCATTTTGAAGTTTTCTGGCAGCATTTTCATTTCATTTTCGCGAAGAAAAGCCTTGAATGTACTAAATGTGTGCTCGACGTAAGTTGATACAAGTGGAGCCCAATTTAAATATGGAACGTTTGAAACGTTCATATTATCAGGAATAAGGGCGTTTTCCTTGCCCTTTACAATTTTATCCACACCTCTTATTTACTACGTTTATACGCATGCATAAGGCGCTTTAATTCATTTCGCCGCGATTCAAAACATATGTATAAACTGAATTTCAATTCGCTTTGAAAGAGCGAAGTGTTTTGACTCACACTCCATTTCAAATCGGTAGTTTATTTCTCCAGACAGTTAGAAAGAGTGTATAAACACCGCTCTCACTCAAAGCGAATTGGAGATCAGCTGTTCCGCTCAAATTCCAAATAATCGCATCAGTATTTAAAAGTTGATTAGTAATAATCGTTCTTTCTCTTTGCCACGATTTTATAATGCCGAATAAAACTAGATTTTTATCACTTCCCATTATATTAACTTATAAAATGTCAAATGAAAACTGCTGATTTTGTTTGCTTTTAAAGACGGTTACTTTGATGCCGATATAAAGCCGTAAGTATAGGCACTAGAGCGAAATGTGTACGGTGTCAATGCGCTTTCAATTAAGTCGATTATTCTGTGCGTATAAACGTAGTAATTGTCTCCAAGCCTACGTTAGCTGAGAAAACGGCTTTGAATTTTTCCAACACCAATTTGACAAGAGGTGCCTGCGCTTCTATAAGCCGCATGGGCGCGCACACCACGTCACGCTACGCCGCGGCCCTTCCCCGTTTCCCACCGTGCTGTATCGCAGGTAGATTAATTTTTTGTATACGTTGAAATAAAATTTTTATATATTTTAAACATCGAGATCTTATATTCAATAATACCCTCTATCTGCACACTTTTCACAAAGATTAGATTCTGATATAAAAATCCACCTAAGCTTTAACTGTCATCAGTGATATTAATGCTACCTTATATAACGACAGGTAATAAGTCCCAGATGGTTTCTAGAATCAAAAATTAGTATTTGTGCAAATTGCAGATAGAGGGTATTAATGAATTCAAGCCCTCGATATTTCAAATTTTTATATTTGTAAGTTATTAGAAGCAGTTGGCATCCCTGCATCCCTGCTCAAACCGTGCCATTTGTCCCTATTTTACTTCAAATGGCACTTTTGTAAAAAAAATTTGCGTGCACTTCTTTTTCTCAACAAAATTTTCTAATTTATAAGCTGGTTTATCTTATTTTATCATTAAACTTTTGTTTGGAAAATGTAGCTTTATTTTATTGCTAAATGTGAATGATTAAAAGGAATGCCACCTTTTTTGGCACTTTTATTTTTCTATTTGGCACATTTTGGCACTTTTTTATCCTCAGTATTGCACCTCATAATTTGTGTTTCAAAAGTGTGTGAAAACCAATCTATTAACTTATATGATCTCGGTTCCGATATTAACTAATCAATAATTGTTTATACTCGCATTTTGGCACATTGGCTCGTTGAATGTGCCATCTAATAAATAGTGTCGTCATTCTCCTTAGCTGCTTTTAAATGATGTCGTCACAAATTTCTGGCGGAGACATGAATATAGTGTAAGAAAATTCTTTTTCTATAAATGTTTCCTTATAGAAAGGTTGGTTTCTTTTCCACCTTAGACATTCCGAATTCGTTCAAAATATGCTAATTTAAAACACAGAATTCTTTCAGTGTTCCTCCGGGATTTTTGGACATGGACTGTTTCATCAATTTAATAGTGTTCGCTTTATTTTTGTGGAAACGAAAAATGTTTTGCAAGTTATGGACCATTCTTCACTATTTCTTCAAATATTTCTCATATTCCAGCTGTGCGCAGGTGTTTAGTTTTTCGCATCGTGTTTTTACATATTCGTAATTTAAATATTTTTAATAAAAGCAATTGGTGATAGTTCATGATTGAGTGTGGATTTTAATATCACAACACTGAGGATTTGGCACTAACCTTTTTCATCTATTAAAAAACAACACTTACGGGGCAACGTTTGTTGCAGGAACAACATTTTTTTTTATGAATCGACATACTTTAAGCATTGTTGACGCTATTTCCATTTGAATGAGGAAATAGCGTCAATGACTTTATTTCCAAATTTCTGTTGATTTTATTTCGCTTTTGAAAAGGTAATAATGTCAATTGACTTTATTTCGCACCAGGGTGGGAAATAAAGTCAATTGACCTTATTTCCATTGACCTTATTACCTGTCACCGTTTTTTAGTTTTTCCAAAAACAAAATTCCTCCTCACCAAACACAAATTTCGCATTTTTCTTTATTAGTTTATATAATAGCTGACATTCGCGAGAAAAATCCTTGACGAGCCGTCTTAAATATGAACATAAACCCAAAAAACTATGTACCGATTTTGTGTTATTAGGGATGGTGTTTAAGCCGCCGCTTAAACTTAATTCAGCGGCCGTGCGCGCATCCTTTGGCCGCAGCGGTGTCAAGTGAACTCCGAAAAAATGATTAACGAGTGCGCACGGCCGTGTCTGCGATTACATAAAAACACACTTTCTATCCTTAACTCTAGCTTGTTCTGTACTAACTTATCAAAAACTTCATGTAAAATTTCCAAATGTTCTTCTTCGGAACTTTTAGCTATCATTATATCATCTAAGTATATAGTATTTTTTCTGCTGGTATAAGATCATCGAAAACGTGACTACTAAAACGTTGAAAAGTCGATGGCACATTTTAAGGTCAAAAGGCACTTTTAAGAACTCAAACTGACCCAGACGGGTCACAACGGAAGTACATTTAATCGATTCCGCTCCCATATAAACATGATAGA